GCCAGGTTGCTGGATTCTAATCGTTCTAATCTATAGGGTGTGGAGGCAACAGGGGCGATACTGGGCGATACTGGGCGTTAGAAGTGGCCATGGGGACAGAATTTAGCGATACTGGCCGTTAGTGGCCGTTAGTGGGCCAGGTTGCTGGATTCTAATCATTCTAATCTATAGGGTGTGGAGGCAACAGGGGCGATACTGGGCGATACTGGGCGTTAGAAGTGGCCATGGGGACAAAGTTTACCGATACTGGCCGTTAGTGGCCGTTACTGCCTGGCTTTTGTACGTGCCGGAACTATATGGATCGTATGTATATTATATATATAATTACAATATATGTCATATATATATATATATATATATAACGTACCCCGTATATATATGTGCATGTAACTAGTACATGCATACATATGTATGTATGACACACACATACATTCGTACATACCTACATACCTAAACTACATACACAGTACTTACTTACATGTACGTGCATGTTATATATATATATATATATATATGTATATATATAACTGATGACCTATGTGTGTGTATATTATGAGTATATGTTCTACAAAGATCATGTTGTACACAGGAGACCAACTTTGGGTCCTTAACCTTTGCCCTAGCTACAGCACATCAGCTGGCATTGCTTGGAAATTAGAACGATCGACTGATTTGAAATTCGAAGCTAGCTACTGCTGGCCATGGCGGGAAATCCTGCCGTTGAGAAGGCCACAAGACTTAACTAGTTAAGGAGTTCAGGGCTAAGGAAGGGGTCTAGGGTTTAGGGGTTTAGGGTGTAAGGGTTTAGAGTGTAGGGGTTTAGGGTTTAGCGGTTCAGGGTTCACAGGTTTAAGGGTTTGGGGGTTTAGGTGTAGGGTTTAGGGGTTTAGGGGTGTGGCAGGCTGCTGCCAAAGCGAAGATGAGTGCAGCCGCATACATAGAGCAGGAAGTTCAGAAAGCCCTGCAGGCAGCAGGGGTGAGCACGGGCTCAGGCGAGGGGTCATGTCAACTTAATGTACATGGGTAGCATAGCCCAGGAAGAGCCTACTTAACGTATTGGTATTCCCCTGCAGGGTCTGGAACTGGGGGCACTGGCGACTCCGCTGCTACACCAGAAGCCCGCCTTCGACTGACCAAGAAGGGTGCACCACCTCCGAAGAAGCCAACAGTAGCCCCTCCCCCCGCCGGGGTCTTAAAGTCACCGAAGACGGAGGAGGTACCCAAAGCCCAGAAAAGCCGCTCATCATCTACAAAAGTATAGGTGTTGGGTTTCCCTTTGTAATTTTGTTTAGCGGGGTGAGTTGCAATAACGACCTTTCTCTTTCCAGCTCAGGTTCCAGCCCGTGGCAGGTGAAGCCGGAGCCGTGGCCCATGCCGGTGCCGAAGATGACAGCAGCAAAGCCAGGGAATCCGCAGCCCCCGCAGAGCACCCTGCAAGCAGCACCAAAGCAGGAGAAGCCGCAGCCCCCGCAGAGCACCGAGCAAGCAGCATCACAGCAGAAGGTAGATCCGCAGCCACCGAAGAGTACGGAGCAAGCAGCACCCATGCAGGTAGACCCGCAGCCGCCGAAGAGCACCGAGCAGAAGGTAGATCCACAGCCGCCGAAGAGCACTGAGCAAGCAGCACCCATGCAGGTAGACCCGCAGCCGCCGAAGAGCGATGAGCAAGCAACTCAAGCAACACCCATGCAGGTAGATCCGCAGCCGCCGAAGAGCAACGAGCAAGCAGACACACAGGTCGACGTGTGCATGGACACCCGGGGAGCCACGGAACCGCTACCTCCCGCTTCAACACAGAGCACCCCGATCAAGTCTCCTTTGTACAAGCGCCTGAAGCAGCTGTCACCCCAGCACGTGACCCCGAAGGGCAAGCTTTTCGAAAGCTCCGAGAAGGCTAGTTTTTGCCACACCATGAGCAATACAGCTACAGACTATTTTTCTATGGGAGATCTAGAGTATGGTTTCCATCAAGTTGCTTATGTCTACATATATATATATATATATATATGGATAGTTAGACTTAGAACCCAATGGCACTCAAGTTCATATCCCTGGGAGGAAACTTCAAGCCTCAGCAGTGCATCTAGATCTGACCAGCGATCAGAAGATGGATCCTTGGCTTGAACTTGGATCTGTAGCTTGATGGTCCGAGCTTTGGATTCTCATGTGTAGATGAGTAAAAGCAGGCAACCTCCGGAGCCTCGACAGCATGACGACGATCACTTTTTCCAGTCTCCAGAGCCAGGAGTGGAAGGAGACCATGATGGATGCTACTAGACACAATATTGTGTAGCCTGCTGCTCTCAAACTCAACGGTTTCCTGGGATGGCACAGCTAAGATCCCGGAAGAGAGCCAGATGGATGAGGAGATGCCCCTAGAGCCCCTCGAGAGTCTTCTTTCCAAGATGTACTTGGACACGGACCAGGACTCCGATTTAGTGAAACCAAGATCCTAAATCCAAACAACCCTAAACCCGAACCCCCCCCCCACAAATGAATCCTTAAGGTCAAGCTTCTCATGTCAGCATCAAGGGAACAGCTGATCCCAATAACAAGTAAGACCCCAATTTAAACCGACTGCAGGATGAGACACGACAGCCGACCCCGGCCGCTGATATGGCACCTGAAGTGACCCAGGATCTATATTCTTCGTTTCAATTTCATGAACCCGGCCCTAGAACCCAAAGCCTAAGCTCTCGATTGCAGGATGTGCCACGACCGCCGACCCCGGCCCCTGATGTGGCGACTTTTGTGACCCAGGATCGCTACTCGTACGTTTCATGAACTTGCCCGGCCTTATACCACAAAGCATAACCCGATTGCAGGATGAGCCACGACCGCCGACCCCGGCCACTGATGTGGCGACTTTGGTGACCAAGGAGGTGACCCAGGATCGCTCTCGTACGTTTCATGAACTTACCCGGCCTTATACCACAAAGCATAACCCGATTGCAGGATGAGCCAGGACTGACGACCCCGACCGCTGATGTGGCGACTGAAGTTACCCAGGATCGCTACTCGTACACTTCATGCCCACCCTTAACCACAAAGCAAAACCTAAGCTCTCGATTGCAGGATGAGCCACGACTGCCGACAAGGGCCGCTGATGTGGCGACTGATGGAGTGAGCCAGGATTGCTACTCGTACGTTTCATGAACTCACCCTAAACCCCCAAGCCTTTCCAAAGCTCTCGATTGCAGGATGAGCCACGACCGCCGACAAGGGCCGCTGATGTCGCGATTGATGGAGTGAGCCAGGATTGCTACTCGTACGTTTCATGAACCCACCCGGCCCTAAACCACGAAGCCTTTCCAAAGCTCTCGGTTGCAGGATAAGCCACGACCGCCGACAAGGGCCGCTGATGTCGCGATTGATGGAGTGAGCCAGGATTGCTACTCGTACGTTTCATGAACCCACCCGGCCCTAAACCACGAAGCCTTTCCAAAGCTCTCGATTGCAGGATAAGCCGCGACAGCCGACAAGGGCCGCTGATGTGGTGACCGAAGTGACCCAGGATCGCTACTCGTACAGTTAAATGAACCCACCCTAAGCCCAAGAGCCTAAACGATCTCTATCTCGATTGCAGGATGAGCCGATGAAAGCGGCCACCGAAGTGCCCCAGGACCGCTGCGGGTTTTCAAGAGGGATCTCGTGTCCTAAATTAAACTACTCGAATCTCGAAGCCCGAAAACCGTACCCCAAACCCCCAAACCCTAAGCCTTTAACCCCAAACCCCTGGGGCCCTAAGACCCCAAACCCCAAAACCCTAAGCTCTAAACTTTTAAATCCCAGAAAACATTCAGCTTTAAACTCCAAACACGGAAACCCTAGACCCTAAACCCCAAACCCCAAAAAAACCCTAAGCTCTAAAGCCCAGAAAATATTTAGCTCTTCACTCCAAACACGAAAACCCTAGGCTACGACCTAAACCCCAAACTTGTAAGCCTTAAACCCCAAACTCGAAAACTTTGCTGGACAGGTGGCTGAACCAATAATTACTATGTCGCCGATTGCAGAGTGTGCTTGGGTGGTGCCCGCCTAGTTAAGACCAGCCCTCCGAATCTACGTTGATCTAGAGGCATGCCGATCTCTTCATAAATCCTGAATTCCGATCCCTTAAATAAAACCCAAAGCCGCGACTGCAAGACGAGTAATATACATATATACATATATAATACATATCTATCTATCTATCTATCTATCTGTATATATATATATATTTAATTATTTATTTATGTACTTATGATATGTAGCTGTGACGAATGGCTAGCCTAAAGGCAGGAAACCTAACTTTCCTCTAAAAGCAAGCCGAGCCCAATCTTGTCAGGATGCGAGCATGGCCAGCTCCGCCCCAGAGCCAGATCCGATGGAGGAGCACATACCTGATCATGATTTCACTGGAGGTTACAAGTAACAAGCTTGATCTGATGGCAGGTAGCGACACAGGCCGATCCCTTGCCGCAGAACCCTTTCCCGAAAGCCAAAGGGGCTGTGCACATGGCGATCCAGTCGGGGCTGGTGCACGAAGTCTTGCAGGGAAAGAGCAAGATCCCGTACCAGGAGACCCACACATAGAAACGTTAACTTATTGAAGTGTAAGCGCTTTGAGGTCGTAGGGTTTATAGGATTTAGGGTTTAAGGTTTAGGGCTTTGAAGGTTTAAGGTTTTCGGTTTCACTCCTCCGCAGGACTCCATGAATCGCAAGGAGCACGAGTCCGAAGAGGAAAGGATTTTGAGGGTGGCTCACAACCTGTACGTGAAGATGCAGAGATCGACAAAAAGTGACTTGAAATATGCACATTAATGTCAGACCACTATGCAACTATCGCTAAGCCCAATTCAATTCGAAGCTCTTTGATTGCAAGCTTGAGGCAAGAGCTGCCCGGACAAGGTGGTCGATGCGGTCGCGAAGACCAAGAGCGGTGCCTCGGCTTGCACTGGGTCTTGAGGACTTCAGGATTTCGAATCGGGCCATCGGTGATTATTCGAATTAAGGTCAGATGAAGCTGGAGGACTTGTTCATCGACTACCTGCGTGCTGGGGGGTCCTGGCTCGAGTCGACCTTGGTGGTTTCGACCACTACGTCGAAGTCCAAGGAGATGCAGGCTGAGGAGGTGTTCGTCAAGTACATGGACCTGAAGAAGCAGCATGGCGCCGTGACTGCGAAGATGATACGGGACGAAAAACGTCTGTTGCAGGAGGAGCAGGACAAGCGGAAGCTGATGCCGAACGAGGAGCCCCCGCTGCCTTTCGTGTTTGCTCACCCTGATCTTCCGGGAAGCGAGGACGGGGCCAGGGTCATGATCATTAGAATCCATAAAGGCTGCTGCTGGATGTTGGGAACGAGCTTCCACCCTTCGATTGTCAGGACTGGGAGATGATCCGGGTGTTTGACACCGCGAAGGTTGTCGCCACAGACAAGAGGACACAGGAGGCCCAGCTCTCCACGGGGCCCATGGAGCTGGATGGCCAGCAGACAAGTGTGCTGCTGCGACTTTGCTAATAACATATAGTGGTCTACAGAAAAGAGAACTTCGAAGTTGCATGCACTTGCCAATCAAAGGCCAGCAGCCCTCGGCTACACTGCTGGATCCGGGAGCTCGAGTACTGGCCTGGCTCTCGCTGCTGGTCCTGTGCTACCGCAACCCCAAGGCCTCCGGAGCTTGGGCTCGAAGGAGTCCATGGAGAAGGAGGCGGAGCAGCTGAAGAAGATGCGAAAGCAGGGCAAAGGCGGCACAGCCGGGCAGGTGAGGACCAAGGCGAAGCAGGTGAGCGACAAGCTCACCGAAGCAGATGAGTTGATCCAGAAGGTGGTGGAGTGTGGGCACCTGCTACTTCGTTCTTGTATTTATTCACCGATGGCCATTATTTTGCTGTATCCTATACTAGCTTATGTATTTGTACCCAGTAGCCAACCCCAAATCCTATACCTTTCAAACATAAAGCTTGAAGCCTAAGTCATCGCTATTCTATACCCTAAAAGCGCCACCCTAACCCTAAACCCTCTACCCTACAAATCAAAAGCTTGCAGCTTAAACCGTGCTACGTCAAACTGCTCCATCCAGCTTTACCGGGCTACACCCCAAAGACCCGAATCACTAAATTCCGCCTAGCATGAGACAGTGAAAACATAGTACGAATACACTTCAACATCCCAGGTCCCAGCCGCTTCGCAAGGGCTATGCGGATGAGCTGTCGATGCACAAGCAGACCCTTTCGGAGCACATCGCCAAGCTGGAGGCACACACATTGAAATGGTTCTTCGCGAAGTCAGATTGGTGCATAATGCTGTAAAAAGTAACCTCGCTAATATTGCCAAAACCCAAACCCAAATAAATAATATGTATTCAAGCCCTCACCTTGCTAGGTCCCAGCCGGCTACAGGTCTAGACAGTGAAGTCGCCGTAGTACCCAAGTCCTTAAACCTAAATCACAAAACCCTATTCACCTTAAATCCTAAACCCTAAACTGGCTAATCCAAGAATCCAAGCCTTTACCAACACATTATCCAGCTGCTAGGCTGACGACTTCGATAAGGGCAGCGCCGAGACGGTGCAGCAGGCTTTCGAGGAGCTTACCGAGAAGCTCAAGGCCTACTCGGATTCCGCTTCGATGATCAAGACGAAAGTTGTACCCTGGTTTTTATAATTGGATTGTAATCTCTAGATCTGGAGTCTGAGCTCGAGCACATGCAAGCACCCGACCCAAAGGCCCCCCGACGTATTGCAAGCCTATATTGCTTAGTATCATCCACAACCCCCTGTATTACATTAAACCCGCTCTATAAGTCCTCAAGCCCAACAGAATGCATCCGAGGCAGATCCCAAGCCAAAGTCGGAACCCAAGGCCAAGGGTAAGTCAAAGGCGAAGGGCAAAGCAAAGGCAAAGTCGTGATGTCGTCGACAGATCCTGCTGGATTTATCAAAGGGCCAAGGTACTGGTCTGTGGCGGCTTCATGTCTGGAAGCTTGACTTTTGCAGATCTAGATCTGTTCGTCGGCGGAGTCCTACACCCTAGGAGCCTAGAGCTTATAATATAAGCATCCTAGCTAGGGCCTCGCTAGTCCTGGTCACAATACATGTACAATTGCAAACGCTCTAGCCGATGGCAGATTCAAGATCATGATTTTCGCTTGTGTACAGATCTCTCCAGATCGACGTCCGATCGCTGCAAGCACAACACCTTCAGAATTGCATGCATCACCTCAAGTGACTGCAACGGATATACAGTAGCCTCTCTCTATAGCCCGTTAGCCCTCGCAGGTGGACCAGATGTTGGCCCTTTATGCAGACACGTCCTGAAATGTGCTGGCCGTGGTGACACCTGGTCTGCAATTCCAAAGCCAAACCCACACTTTGCTGTTATAGGAACCTGATTAAGAAACCCTGGGCTATAACCCCAAACTTCATATAAGGACCCCTAATATAACTCATGATAAGTTGGTTTCTTAATCAGGTTCCTATAACAGCAAAGTGGCCCTCTAGAACTCCAAGCCGAAATAAACCGTAGAGTAAGGCCCGATACTGAATGGGTTGTCGTACCGACTCCAAACCCAAACTTAACCATCCACTATATGCATACCACGTCAGTTGAAAATTCTTACAGAAGCCAGACCGGAATCCCAAACCCGATTGCAAGTAACCGCTCCTCCACTCCCAAAATATGTCGATAGCATCGAGGACCTCAGCTTGACGGGCGCGGTGGAGATGCTCCGAGAGGGCCACAAGGAGAGCCGATCAGGGTTTGGTTCATGCATGTGATTAATCCGATTTGCATGTACATATGCACAGCTACAGGAAGTAGCCTCTACGGGTGGCACATTGGGCCGGCTGGCTGAACGGCTCAGACGAGCTGGGTGCGATGGTAAACACAAACAAAATATTGAGAGAGATCTTCTGCGGACGGTTACCAACAATTTGGGCTGCGAAACATGGTTGCACTAGAGGATAGCACGTGTAGCCATCGGGTTTTCAATACCTGATTTTTAAACCCTGGGCCTTAATTTATTATGGGTTCCTTGTACAGTATGAACGAACCTACTATATTGGGGTTATAGGCCAAGGGTTTCTTAATCGGGTTCTATAGACTACATGTCTCGCTCTGGAGTTGTTGATCCGAACAGGTGCCAATATCCTGGGTGCGAGTGCCGATGCGAACATCGATCACGGACGACACCGTGGTCTTCAGGTTCTCTGTGCTGGCAATTAAATATACGTTGGCCATGTGGTGGTTTGCATTTAGTGTCCATATATTATGTAGTTCGAGCTAGCCTAGGAAGCTACCGGTCATCCTCCCCCACGAGCTGCTATGCTATCTACGTGATGAGAAGATTCCTGAGGGGGAGGTTGATGTGGATGCTGTCCGTACCTACTGGCAGCATTGCAAGCGATACATGGCTTGGGCGGGACAACACCCGGGGGCTGATGAGTCGCTGGGCCCATGTGTCCCCTTATGGCTGTATGGAGATGACATCCGGCACAGTGTGCGGGAGAAGCTGACAGCTTTTTATATGGGACACGTGTTGTCGAAAACTACATTTTCGATGAGGAATCATTTTCCGATCTTCGTGATACGGGAGGCCCCAGCCACTGCAATCGAATCCCGAGTACCTTAATAAGAAATAAGTAAACCCTACATATAGCCGGTATCCTAAACTCGCAAACTCGCAACCAAAATGACCTGCAAGGCTTAAGCTCGAACCCGGCACATGGACCTAGCCTTATCACCTACAACTTTAACCGTAATTCTGATACCCCAAACCATAAACCAAAAGAACCTGGTTGCAGGCCCTGAGCTGTGGCTTCGAAACGATCCAAGCCTACCTTCGTCCTGTGGCTTGGCACGAATATCAAATCCCATCGAACTACCGGGCCCTACTACCGAAATACATAGAACCCTATGTCCAAGGTAGTGGCTTCGCTGAATGTGTGCTTGAGTGGCTTCCACCCGGAGAAGCCAGTCCTCAGAACAAATGGGGATTGTGAATGGCCGGACTGTGTGCCGACTACCGATCATGATCGACCGCTCGTGCTGAAGAATGGCCAGCCAGTTCGATTTGCAATGACAGAATTGCGAGCGGATTGGAAGTTCCACAAGGATAGTGTCATTTCACACCCTGAACGATATATGTTTCAAATTGCTTCCTAGGGATCTCTTTTTTGAGCTTATAAGACTTTTTCGAAGTGCAGGAAATGATGGGGCTGTCCACTGGGTGGAGCAGCAAGTTTGTCTGTCACCATTGCATGGCAAGCAAGGACAATTTCTTCAGGAGCCCCTCAAGCTTGAAATCAGAGCCCCGGCGAAGCATGCAAAACTTCGTGCAGGAATGCATCGATCCCCGGAGTTGGTCGGATGAATTGTGCACACAAAGCTTTTGCCTATACTAAGCTGTATGCTAAATAATTCCCCAAACCCCAAACTGTCAATCCTAACACCCGGAAACCTCAAACCCTAACGTTTTACCGTCAAACCCTCAACTCTGCAGCCCGAAAACCCTAAAACCTGTCCAACAAACTCCGCAAACGTGATACCCTAAACCCCTAAACCTCCGAGGCCACATGTTGAGGATGATAGGATTTCACGTTTGTATGATGCGATGGTGCAGCTTGCACTCCTTAAACCTGGGGCCATTGGTCTGGGCCACGGGGGCTTGCATGGAGCTGCTATTGCAGCAGGCGCTAATAAGTTGAAGGGTCCAGGGTTTGCTAGGTATATATACATATCTATAGATAACTAAGGGCATCTAGACCTAGACTTTAAGGTCTAAGGGTTTGAGGCTATATAATGTACCGGTTCATATAGCGGTTATTATATGAGGTCAACACTAGTGCCCCTGCAGGGTCTTTGGCCTGGAGACACCAAAAATGCACGGCTGAAGAAAGCCTATGCTGATTTCTCTGAATGGAGCCATGAACACAGAATTCCGCAGCCCGGAAAGAACTTAATTATGTAAATCCTGGTACAATATCACCCTGCTGACAGCTTAGGCATTCTCAACCGCTGTTCCAGGCCAAGCATCTGCGATCAAAGAATGGCTCTGAAGTAGAATTGGCAGCCAAAGCGTACAACGTGCCTGGGATGGTATATTTAGGTCTCGGGTTTAAGGGGTATATAGGGTTCAAGGGTTCGGGTTTAGGGGTCGGGGTGTTTAGGGTTTATATTATGTGTACAGGGTACGGTTTTAGGAGTGGGGCTTGGGGTTGGTTAAGTCCACCGGTTCAGGCTCGTGTCGTGACGAGCTGGTTGGCTGACTTTGTCGTGAACCTGCTTCATGAAGAGCCCTACTGCGATGATGAGGGTCTTATGCTGCTCGGGCAATGCATGCAGCTGGACTGCATGTATAATGTTGGGGGCATGAAAACCGCATGTCGATGTCAATTCATCGAGGCACTTCCTCAGCGAGCTGATGAATGTCGTTGAAGCCTCACCGCGATATTTGGAGGACTCACAAATTGCTCGTGTGGAGTACTGCCAGAATGCCTCCCTCACCGCCTACGGCCTCCTCGCCCACAAGTGTGCTCAAGATGCCCTCTCGATGTTCCCCATGCGACCCAAGCTGCATGTACCCTGGACTGCAAATAATTAAACATGAGCAAACAAATAGGACCAGCTTGCAGCTCTGAGGCAGTTCAAGAACTCGTGTTTTTCGCCAGCACAGAAAGCAGCCGGCAAGCATTGGAAGGATGTTCGGTATATTGTTTTGGGGCCTATGGGATTGCTGTACGATCCGAGGACTGAACTTCCGCATGTACCATACATTTGCATCCGAAGATGCAAATGGCCGTTTGGTTCGTGTCTTCGCTAAAATATGGTGGTCTGCTGCAATTAATATAATCAAGCATGCATGCATGGTGAGCAGCAGCACAGCTGAGGCATAGCAGCTCGTGCACATGCCCGCTCCCTGGAAAAATCCACGTTGAGGCGCTTTTACATGTGGCGGCTGGCTTGCACTAAGATCGATAGCGCCTTAAACCTAGGCTGAGAAATTATTCGGAACCCTGCTAGCACCTTAAACCGAGCCCCAAGCCACACCCACACAGCCCATCCCAATTCGAGAGGTTTAGAGCTCCCTAGGGTGTGTAGGCTTTAAGGCTTCTAGGGTTTACTGTTATAAAATTTTGTATTATAAGCACAAGTGCCGATAAGGTTAACCTTCGAGGTTTAGGGCTTTGGGGTTCGGGGATATCCTCGGCCGGGTTTATAGGACTCCGGATTTCAAGGCTAAACGGTGTTCCTTCGTTTGGGGCTTTCGGAGTTTGGGGCTGTAGGGTCTAGGAGCTATTTCTAGGGTTTCTGGTTTCGGTTTTTGTTCCTAATTATTCGTGCAGCTAATAGCTAAGGATGCTTGCCGATGGGGGCGATGCTCATGAGCAGGAGGAGGCATAGCTTCGAAAAGCTCCAGGTTCAAGCTTCGGGTTTAAACTGCTAGGCTTCAAGCTCTGGGTCTACCGTAATACCGTGTATACATGATGTGCGATGCATGATCCGGAGCTTCCAATTGCAATTAGCCGTTGCATAGCGACGGAGCCGTGCAAATCATGCCTGCTAGAAGAAAAAATCGGCCGCTGATCTGTGCAAGCGGTCTATGCACTTCGGCCCAAATCATATAAATGCATATGCTCAACATACCTTAATCTGACACGTACTATAAGCAATATTTGTTTTTTTCCGGCCGTGTTGTTGTGTGTGTTGAAATTCGTGTTTCAACAGACAGTTTGCTTGTTGAACAAGCGCTTTTCGCAGCGCTTCAAACGTGTTCTTGAGCGCATAAAATAGCCAACAAAGTTTGTCTATATCCACACTTTGTGTCCACGAAACCACTTGGTCCCTACGCTCACTCCTGTCTCCGGTTATATAAACTTCCTATACTTGGATTTCAAGTGCTGTCTCTGCACACACTCTGGAGCCTTTGGGTGTATATGGAGTCACAAAGCTTTGCAGGTGTAGCTGGTCGGGTTTGAAAGGATTCGCCCGGATGTTGATATTCCGTGCCTCCAGACCCTTCTTCTCGGATGTATCATAATTTCCCCAAAGTTGGCAGAGCATATGGCCCCTACAGCCAACGGCCTTTGCCTGGTCCCCGACTTTTGAATAGCACTCCAAAAAGCAACGGTACCATACGAGACCACTAGATCAAACTGTTAATGGAGAACCTCAAACGATCCCAAAGCGTTTTCGCATGGGCGTACATCACGAGGAAGCTTCTTTTTCGACTTCTCATCATGCCCGGAGAGTGCTAAATTCTTAGGCTAGGGAGAGTGTCGAGGTTGCAGACAGTCTGACCATTGTCTCTCCTGAGCCTGAGCCCCTTCACCGGGAACCTTCCCTTCAGGTATTTCTGACTGAGGGCTGATGCAACAGGGCCCCTCGAAGACCGATGTTGAACAACACTGCAATTTAAAGCAAGCCAAGTCCTGACAGAAACATGAGTTCCACCTGCGCCCTCTGCCGGGGAGAAGAAGGGCCCGCCTCACCAATTCAAAGACGAGCCAGGAGTCCAAATTGCTGTAGTCTACACGCTCATCCCAGGCATATCAGCTCAAATATGTCCGAACGATACAAATAGGCCCTGTAGACCCTCGAAACCACCTAGGACGGTGGATGTCAGGATGTGTGGAGGAATCGTAGGGGCTCGTACAGCCCCATAAACCCTAAACCCAATGCTCATGAAACCATAACAACCCTAAACCCTAAGCCCTAAACCCTAAATCCCTAAACCCTGAACACCTATAAGCCGTTTTAAGAGGGCTCGGCCCTGGGACTACCTCGGCAGGACCTGAAGCCTCGACTTTAGCTCCTGTGTTCGACATGTACGGATTAGAATGGGGTTCCTTTAGGGTCTATAAGGGTTACTTTAAGGGATTTATAAGGGTACTGTTTGTACGACCCCAGTCGTACACCTGGTCAGCCCAAGCAGTCTGGAATGTCAGAGTCAATGCTTGCTGAGCTCTTGGAAACATGACCCGAATCAAACCTTTGCAGGGAAACGGCTCTGGCAAAAAACTCCTTCCAGCCTGAACTAGCAACGCGGAAGCGCTCTGCATGCACAAAAAACGCTAACTTGACAGCTGGCACACGCTTACACGGGCAGGCTTACCTAGCATGGTCAATGGTCACCAAAAGGCTCGTGGGGGGGGGGGACAGATCTGGGGACGTCTGGTAATTGGCTTATGCATTGCCGCTGCTCTTGAGGCAAATCTCGCAGAATCGCGGAACACCCTGGACTCGCCCGGACATGCAACCACGAACATCCACAAGACAATGAAACTTCCATGACTCGAAGACCTGAAACCGCAACCTGCGACCCTAAGCCGACAAAGCCGGGAGAAACCGTCGCTGAACGGCCTGTCCAGCCGGACGGTTGGGAAGCACCGCCGCCTGCTTAGGGACTGCTTTCCGAGTTTCTAATCCGATCTGCCCGGCTGTTTTGGGCTTAGGCTCCGGAGTTTTCGGGCTGAAAGCAAAGCCTCTGGAGTCCTCATGTTCACGCGCAGCGGAGTTGAACATGAACCTAAACCGCCGTGGCCCCAAACTTTGGGAACTTCGGGGCCGACTGACTTCCGCACACATCGGGGTCTTTTGTTGAACCCTCTTTTCCATCTGCCCCAAGGATGTCCGGAATGCCAACTACGGCTGAGGGGCCAATCCGTGAGGCTTCGGGTCTCGGGCTTAGGATTTTACGCAACCTCGACACAAGGAGATGAGCGCTCCCAACCTTGCAATTTGGGAAGAGCGTATGACCCTGAAAGCCTACAAATCCCAGTAACTTCCGAAGCCCCCTGGTTCCTTGCCGTCTTTCTCTAGAGGTAATTTTAAATAGCTCCTCAAGGATTAACTCAAACGTTGGATGCGTAGCCTGAACCGTAGGATTCGATGAGACTACGAAACCATGAAAGTATGGCCTCGGCTTCACTCGGCCTACTCTTCCGCCCGCACATGTAGATCCCACACGGACAAGTAGCAAGATGCACAAGCCACCTGGCTTCATCAACAATGCAACGAATCTTGAAATTGGGTGCAGCGTGTGGGCCCACTCGCCTGTGAACACTGAGGGCTGGAACACAGCTCCACCTCACCAGGTTCGGGTGTGAGGCTGAGGTGTTAGAGTTACTGGTAATGGGCTCAGGCGAGACCCGTTGAGTTTTATTTATACGGTAGACACGAAGATCCGGTGTACCGACATACTTCGTGCTGGGCCGTCGCCAACGACATCTTGAACATGACGGACGGTCTCACTGAGCTTCGTGTCTGATTGTGGCATCTGGCCTCTTCGATCATGATCGGACCTGTAAACCTACGCGCTTCAGAACCTTCCCGACGAAACGTACTAAAGCCCCACCCTCAGACCACCTAGCGTACGCGAACAATGCACTCCAGCTGCCTCTTATTAGTGCAGATGGGTGTATGCGGCAGTGAAAAAATGCTGCATTTCGTTGCCGCTTTCGGTGAAGCAAACCTTCCAAACTGAAGTAAGCATGCCTTCAAGGATTTAGCCGTCAAGTTGACCAATGTCCAGAAGGATAAAGAAAGCTGATTCCTGGGATAGGGCTTGACATGCGGAGGTACAGGACTGAAACCCGGTTAAGGGGTACTGTATGGTATTAGCTTCATTCGGCCTGCTCTTAAGCCGCTTCTTGTACACCCGAACCGAGATACAAAACATCTCCGCAGGCTACAGGTCTCATCAACAAACTCCTGCACATGAGGCGGGAGTGCGAGGACTTGCCTGCGCCCACGGACGTCTGGAAAACAGCGCCGCCTCCCCAGGCAATCGGGATGAATGTAAGTCTTCAGGCTCAGGTGGGGTCTTTGGACATGTAAGGACCACATGCATGTGCGTCCACCGATGAAGGCTGCCAGTGTTTCTCATTCTGGGCAACTGGGCTGTCAAATTTGCTCATCCACCGGTCTACTTCCATCACGGAAAAGAGCAAGAAGTCGGAGTCCACTTTTTCACATTCTTGACTTAGTCTGAACCTAAGCCATCGAAGCCTCACCAACAACAGTGGCCAAAAGCCGCAACCGAACTTTCTCTGGAAGAGTCTCGAATAATCAACATAGTTTAACTGGAAAGTTCTGCCATTGCTGCCACCTGCGCAGGCGGACGGAGAGAAAGCCGGCGCACCTGGCGGCCCAGGGAATCTGCCCAAGCAGGTCCAGCTCTGAAGCCCCCAACCCCGACGCCGCAAGCTAAAGCCAGAGCCCTAAACATGAATCATGATGGAACTCAGAGCTTGCAAGTTTAGGCTTTAGGCTTTTTTGCGGTTGAGGCTGATCGGCTGGGGAGGCGCTAAGGCCGCTAATTAATGCTTTAGGCTTCTGCAGGGTACCTGTAGTCTCCATTGTAGTTCCTGGCGCGGTTAGTGCTTGGGTTTGGGGACTCGAGGCTTGGGGCTCGACTTGGGCGGGTTTGCGAATCTGGGCACTGCCCTTGAGGCTCTGCTGAAACTGCTTGGGTTACTGCAGGGGTTCGCCTGGAGCTCCGTGCTTTTGGTGATTGTGGAGGCTCTTGGCGGGACATCATGGCCCTAAGACGCAGTTCAAGAGATCCAAAACTTACTAACGAGCTAACTAAGCTCGGAAGATTCAAAAGAAGTCTCTGGAGTCTAAGACTCTCCTTCGTGTCCACTCGAACGAGCAAAGACTGTACAGACGGTAGAACGCCGATGGATCCCAAATGACTCCCGAGGGCGGCGCCTGCGCATGAACGGACGGAGGCCCCGCCTCGCCCAGCTGTTGCAATTGGAAGGAATGTTTGCAGGCGGTCCTACAATGGATCCTGAACCCAGAATGGGAAACTTCCGAACCCTGGACCGCCTGGACCCGATGCCCTCATTAAGCCTCCTGTAGGGATATACTGACCAATGTGGGCGGCTAGGTGTCTCAGAGCTTACCCTAAGATTCCATGTAACCAAGTAGTATATACTTTGGCCTAAAAGTACTCACTAGACAAATACGTTGGGCCCAAAGTGTATACTATTTGGGTACATGGACCCTTGGGGTTACCAGACTGCATCACGTGCAGCCGTGGAGGAAACGGTCAGAGAAGCAGCTTCCGAGTCTCACTTTGCCGGGTCTCTCAGCCTTTATGTAAATAGACCTCGACGAGGCTTCTGAAGGGGCGTCTGCTCGGGGACACTTAGGATTCTTTTGGTGGACCTCGTCAATGAGAATGGTAGCTCCCTGGCACGAAGCTGACTTTTTCCTTGTACCTATCAGCAAATTTGGCATCGGTCAGCAAAACCGCAGACCCAAATACTGAAAGTTTGCCGCATTCCCGGAGAACCTGGGAACGCTGAACCCAGAGTTGATGCCTTCGGCCCAGAATGTACGGATTGCGAACGAGAAGGCAGCGAACCCATTCAGCGGAGAACTGCTCCAAGAGCCAGCATATCTTCATCTTCAACTTCTGGATGCTGAACCCCCAAACCTGCGGATAGCCAGAAAACAACTTGACCACGTCCGCTTTCGTCAGCTCCAAACCTTGCAGACACTGGACCGTGGGCTTCAAGTTCTCTTCGATGCTGCATCCCAGCAATGAGGGAGATCGAGCAATCGCTTTGGCAACTTGAGTCTCCGTCATCCCCAAATCTCGCAGCCACTGCACCGTGGGCTTCAAATTATCTTCGATGCTGAGTCCCAACAATGAGGGATATCGAGCAATAACTTTGGCAACCTGAGCTTGCGTCAACCCCACAGCCCGAAACCATTGGACGGTGGGCTTCAAGTTCGCTTCGATGCTGTATCCCAAAACTGAGGGTGATCGATCAATCACTTTAGCAACCTCAGCTTTCGTCAGGCCCCAATATCGCAGCCATTCGACGGTAAGCTTCAAGTTATCTTCGATGCTGCATGCCAGCACTGAGGGATATCGAGCAATCGCTTTGGCAACTTGAGTCTTCGTCAGCCCCAAATCTTGCAGCCACTGGACCGTGGGCTTCAAATTCTCTTCGATGCTGAGTCCCAAAGCTGAGGGGTATCGGGTAATCACTTTAGCAACCTCAGCTTTCGTCAACCCCAGACCCCGCAACCACTGGACCGTGGGGTTTAAGTTTTCACGGATGCTGTAACCTGCAAGCTGTGGATGTCGAACAATCGCTCTAGCAACCTCAGCCTTTGTCAACCCTACATCTCGCATCCACTGGACCGTGGGCTTCAAATTCTCTTCGATGCTGAGTCCCAAAGCTGAAGGACATCGAGTAATCATTGTGGCAACCTCAGCTTTCGTCAACCCCAAACCCCGCAACCATTGTACCGTGGGCTTCAAGTTCTCTTCGATGCTGCATCCAAGCACTGAGGGATATCGAGCAATCGCTTTGGCAACTTGAGTCTTCGTCAACCCCAAATCTCGCAGCCACTGAACCGTGGGCTTCAAGTTCTCTTCGATGCTGCATCCAAGCACTGAGGGATATCGAGCAATCGCTTTGGCAACCTCGCTTGTCGTCAGCCCCAAATCTCGCAGCCAATGGACCTTGGCCTTCAAGTTCTGTTCGATGCTCAGTCCCAAAACAGTCGGAGATCGAACCAGCATTTTAGCAACATCGGCTTTCGTTAGGCCGCAAGCTTCCAGATGTTGCATCCTGGGCAGGAGTCGATGCTCAATGCTGCAAGGTGCTAGAGCAGGGCATTTTCTGATGAGTTCCTCCCCTTCCGAATACGATAGATTCAGTTGTGCCTGCAGAAATTCATGCAAAGATGCAGGGTCGAACTCGCACTCACGTTCCGCGGTTATTCTCTCGGTAAACTCAACTGCTGCTTGTCGGGAGATCCCACTGGCTATAGGATTCTCCACAAAGGTCTGCAACTTTGCTTGAAGAGCAGGCTGTAAAGCATTTCCCCGTTGTCTCAACAAGAACAGAACGACTTGGCGAAGTGCCTTCACCAAGGATGCTTCACGGCTCGGCTGCCAGGTGTCTACCACAACTTCCCCCATCTCGCATGAAGGCTCCCATTCCCGATGGGCATGGGCTATGCGCAAAACGTACGATCCAGCAGGGGCAAAGCCCAAGAGTGCCTTGCTCTTACGAGCATCGGCAGCCATGCCGGGAGGCATCAGGTGCCGATAGTGACCGTCGTACTCCAAGAACAGGGCCGCTTCTTGGGCCTGCAAAGAGCCGTACACTGTCAGATCTGGGCTCAAAGTGTTCCTGCCCCATCCATCGCTTCGTACCGCAGGGAAGTCCCGGAAGAGCTCTTCGATGGGCTCTTCTGGCCGCAGAAGCACCGCCAGGTGTGAGAGGAGCTCTGCCTCCGCAAGGCTTCCCGGCTGTTTCCGGGCACGTCCGGCCTTCCACCAGGCGGGAGGATTGCACACCGCGCCGGGACACCCCGGTAAGGAGGAGAGACACCTTGGATATGGACATGCCAAAGTCCTCCACGCCTTCCGAAGTGCGGGAAACCTCATGTCTTCACGAGCCCGCAGCTGCATCGAGCGGCAGCATGCTCCAAAGACTTTACGGATCGAGTTCCCCGCTTCCCAAGTCTTCCTGTGTCTGCAAGATATGAACGAAGACTGATCCACTCCGACCGTATCTTGTTTCCAGTTGAAGATGCTTGATTAAAATTAGAAGAAACCTTTGCGACGGTTGAAGTTTGGGGCATGCCTCCTTGCGCTGCGGACGGAGAGAAGGTGCCTCCACCTGGCACAGAACACCGGATGGGATGTTCTGACTGCAGGAAAACAAGCAATCAAGGCCATATCATGCAAACCCTCCGGAACATCTGCATGAACCGTCCCACAATCCCTGAAAGCCCATTGAACCATGCAGAGTCCAACACTAAGCCCCCAAACCCTAAACCCCTAAACCCTAAACCCCTAAACCCTAACCCCTAAACCCTAGCCCTAAACCAACTTCAAAGCCGTCGTAACCCGGCCTACTCCCTCGTGAAGATCCGCAAAAGCACCGCGGTCCGGCGGCCCTGAGCCATGCGAGAGCATAGCTTTTGTTTAAGCCTAAAAAACCTATGTTTGTTTTAAGCCCACGGATTCAATGGAGATCTTTCTGTATTTCCTTTTGGGGGGAAGAGAGTCAAAAGTTTCGGGTTCGAGTCTCATACTGCTTGAGGTTTGGGGTAGGAAACTGCAACTACAGTACATGACTACGCTCGGTGCGGATTTTTCCAAAGCTGCCCGACTGTTCAGGTTTCAGTGTGTCTCTCGACGGTCTTTGGATAAAGACCGCAAATAAGGGGCGGCTGGGGCCTGAGGATGGAAGTGATAGAAGTAGAAAAGTTCGGACAAGGCTGATCTTCTGAAATGGGTCGGAAGGTTCCTGCAGGGAATGTCTCAAGAGTTTTAACAGTTTACGAGGATACCAATACCAGTTGCAGACATAACAATACCTGATGGTAAACACTCCGTGACTTGGTGATCAAGGTCGGCTGTACTTCTGGACCTGCAAAGGGCCTCCACCCTAATCAACGCGAGCGAGCATGATGACTTGCGATGAAACTGACACCACGTCAATCAATAAGCAACAGGAGGGACGAGAAGCTACTGTAGCTCCAGATTCTATGTGTCGAGCCTGAGGCGGATTGAAACCCAAACCCAGTACTAGGTGTCGACTTCAACCAGTCCCCATCCTTATCTATAATTAGGGCGCCATAGCAAACAACTAAGGAAATTAACAACAACTATCCCAACTCGATACCTAGCCTAGTGACCATTTCCTTGATTCAAGAGCTGGCTGCCTCTTCTTCTTCGCTGCTCGCTATTCTGCTCTGCCATGGTTATTATCCGTGAGAGGGTCTCTCTCACCTCCTGGCGAAGGCTTCGAAGGTTCGTTGACCGCTGCCTTCCAATCCTACACTGATGAGGAACAGCGCAAGAAACCTGGGTTGCAAAAGGAAACTAGCCGCGTTTGATTGAGAAATATCCGTGCAGGAATTGAAGTGATTACAACTCGTACTTTATTGTGGAAGTCCCCTCTAGCTAGCCCAGAGTTTGAGAGATGACTTGATTTGCCTTGAGTGGACTTCTCTTCTTGTCCGTTGTCGGGCAAGCCGCTGGCCCAAAGCCAAAAACAGCCCGATGCAAAGCTTGTGGAACCTCCTACTGCCTGCTGAGATACACCATGATTCGGTGCCACCACGCCAAAGCAATCCAAACGGTGCAGACCCACTATCTCGGAAAGAGCTCTTCTTGCATGACATACCGAGGTTCGCGACCCATGTGATCAGTTCTCCGAATGTGCCCCAGAACTGTATTTACGATAGTGCGACACATGGATGGCACAAATGGACTGGTTTTTGAAAACCCCGCGGTACTATGTGGGGCTTTTAAAGCCTTTGAAAAATATTAGTAAATAAGATCCTCTTAAGCCCAGTAAGAGAAGATGCCCTACCTAGATTATTGCAAGGAACCAGCGACTCTGGGAGCCTTGATCTCCAAACAAATTCACCGAACCCTCCTACGACCCGTGTCCTGGCAATTTCGTTGGATGTCATCCGACGAAGCTTTGTGCTGTCGTATCTGGGCGGAAAGACGCACATGCAAGGCAGCCGTGAATGTCCTATAGTAGTATCTCACCCAATCCCTTGTTCCCCTTCCTGCCCGTAACAGCGCAGAAACACACCTCCTCACAGGATGAATAAGCAGCTAGGTTCGATCCCCGACCCTGCTGCCCAGTAAAGACTGGACTGTATACCCAACTTGCCTAAACTAATGCAAGGCCCTGGTATGAGAGAGAAAAAAGCATTAACTTGCAGCTCGAATCTAGGACGACACCCTCAACCCTAAACCATGAACCTTGCCATGCCCTCAAGCCTACACCCCTAAACCCTGGAATCCATGGAACTGAAGGGACGAACCCAGAGGGTCCAAGGACCTTTTTGAAACTTTCAAGCCTTTTGAGGTACGTACCCAAAACCTTAAATGATAACTACTGGGACCCTTTGGGGAAGGATCCAACCCCGCAGCTGTTGCAGACAATGCTGAGGCCCGGTCTTCATCGCGCAGTCCCTGTGCAGGTGTGTCGTCTTTGTTGGGGGATTATAGAGTTAGGGTTCAGGGCTTAAGGTTTAGGGTTTGGGGTTGAGGGGTTGAGAGTGCATCTTCCCTGATATGCAACAGACTTCTTTCTTGGCTCCTTCCTAGCTCCTAGGTCAGAAAACCTTCGGTATGCAACACAACTACCCCAACTCTGCTAAACAACAAATGATTTTTCGGCAAGCTTCTCTGTTGTGCGAACTGCCCAGGCGCACACGGAGAACATGTATCTGCATGTGTGGTCCCGGCTCCCTGCATTCTGCTCAATCGGGCCACATTGGCGTCCTGTAACTCAAAGCTAGATCCCTGAAACCCACGAGACATCCAGTTCGCTGAAGATGTCATCGATGGGGCAGACACCATCACAGTCTGCGAGACTGGCGTCATCGATAACAACTGTAATCAGGTCTCAGGCCCATGTTGACCAGATGTCTTACGCACAGTGGTTAGTTGAGATGCTGTCGTGAAGACTGAATTTATACCTTGTTGCCATGTCAATCGGTCTCCGTAACCCCACGGATCCCTCCACCAATAAGCGACCAGAGACCCTAAAGACCTGCAAATCATCAACATTCGCCAACAACTCGACTCTTGAAGGAACAGTTCACTTCAGAACACAACAGCATGCAGACACAAATACACGCAACACAAACTACTGAACGAACGCACCAGAGGCTCACAAAATCAAGCGCACAAGAACAGCACAGGCCCTAAACCCTAAACCCCTAAACCGTAAACCCCTAAACCCCTAAACCCTGATCCCCGGCAGATCGGCCTGGATCTCCTGAACAACAGGGGCCAGGGGAAGAATTCGGGTCTACATGGAGGTTCATGGGTAGTTATAAGTAGGGGTATAAGAGGTCTAAGGTTCCTTTTAAGGGTTCTATAGGGTTGAGGGGTTAGCTTTTAGGGGCAGTTATAAGTAGGGTTATAAGTAGGGTAACTATACTTTAACTCACATTAGAGGACTTATAACTTATAACCCTACTTATAGCTTATACCTATGATGCTCCAAGTAGGCTGGTCCAGGATTGCCATACGCGGGGCTACAAGGATTCCATGAGGAGTTCAGAGGGGCTGGTTGTAGGGACTCTTGGTAAGCAGGGAACTTTGCTTCTGTTGCGACCATTATAAGATACGCAGTATGTCATATCTATCTCGATGATGGTAACTTCTAGGAGGTTCTTTCAGAAGCACGCAGCTGCTGATGCTTGAGTTGACGTACAAGTCTTCAGTGTGACAAGCCCCAAGCCTCAAAATGCCAATGGTCCCTTTGAGTCAACATCTCAGAATTTAGGGTTTAGGGTTTAGTGTTAATTAAGGAGACTTCCCGGTTTCTGCAGACTTAGGAGATTCTTCAAGATGTAAAGCCTGTTGAAAAAAGCACACAGTAGCACAGGTTCTTGGACAACTCTGGCAAGTTTCTCGGAAGCCCTATAAGTTGGCTTTCATCCCAGAAGCTCTGCTGTAAAGTGCTAGGAAATTCATAGCCCCCAGGGCTCCAGTTGCCTAAATAGTAAGTCACTAGCCATATACCACATAATACAATATGTAACCCAGCAACCTATTATTTGGGTAACTGGAGCCCTTGGGAACTGAATGTTGAATGTGCAGCGCCATACCGAGTGGCCTCTTCCATGCCGCCAACGTTTGCAGATTCTCGTGGGGAGAATTCATTTAAGAACCGCTTTTCTGTGATCCCGACTGAACCCCACAGTCTAGTCCAGTGACCTTATTTAAAACTTAGTTGCGATGGACTCCTTCGTTGGTGGCTTAAAGCTCCTCCACGCGGACGCAGTAAACCCCTGAACACCAAGATGTGTTCCCCCACCGCTCGCCACCGGCCTGTTGAAGAGCCTTTAGAGCTTCCGCGTTTGCAGGACCTCATTGCAGCAACGTCCAGCAACAGGTTCAAAAATTAAATAGTTTCGGAATCCGATGGTCAAGGAGTTAGGGACATCGCAAAGGATGTAGGCTGAGGGGCTTTGATAGCTGGAAACTGTGTCTCTGCATTTCCTCTCGGCAGGCAAACAAAATCGACCCGTGACTCCAACTCCCCACACAATTGTAGACCTCTAGATCTACCAAAAGTCTCCATTGTAGTTCCTTTTTTTTTTTAACCAAAACCTCAAGAAAAGGGTCCTAACCCTAAACTGGTTAACCAAAAAAAGGAACTACAATTGTAGATCTCCAGATCTATGACCAAGCAATGTCAATGTGGCGCCGTCAAACCACCGCCATCGGTAAGAACGCCCTAAACACTGTCAAGACGTTTAAACGAGCCTGAACCCCTAAACCCTGCCCTAAACTCCCATAAAACCCCCAAGCGCTTGAGCATCCGAGCCGGCGTTCCACGGTTGTCCGTCCACCATGTGC